AAAGCCCATATCCTACAAAGTCCCTTATGAAGTTGCCCGTTTCTCCCTCACTGCACTGAGCAGTAAACCTGACTTCTTCAGCTACACATGTGTTCCTGGCGGTCTTTGACAAGAGGGTATTGACACATCCATAGCCCCCAAAACTGTCAACATTGAACTAGTAGTTAAGTAAAAATGATGTAAAAGAACCTTGTACACTGTAAAGCTTTATTAGAAAGTTGATGTATTATTAAGATTTCCAGACTTGGAATTTTGTTTTCAGTGGAATCATCCAAACCCACAAGTATTTTTTAACATTCTACTTTTTAAATATATTTGATGAATAGTTCCCTTTCCAAATATAAAACATGTGTATTTTCTACTCTAGGTTTACCATCTCAACTGATTAAAGATGGTGTAACTCTCAAGAGAAGTTCATTCATTTAAACATTCTTTTCATTATGCTTGGGTGATCTTTGTTCTAGTTCAGATTTTAAATTAGCATTGAAATGAATGTCAAGTAGTATCCCTATCCTTTCAGAAATAGTGATGGATCAATATTTCTTAAACATTACCTGCCAACTCTAAAAGCAAATAACGCTTATTGTTGCTTTCGTCACCACTTTAGATGGTGGCGTTTTAAACTGCTGTGTTCTACGCATCAGTATGGGGGAGGAGGTTCTGACCCCCCCCCATCTGTTTAATGGCCATCACTAGACTTCAGTAGGTGCTAAGAACATTATTGTAACATATCCTTTATTGCCATAATAGTGGTTGGAATGGATATACCTACATTCAGTCCGGAACTCACCACACCAAGCAAAGTTGGGAAGTTGAATTTGTACCCAGTCATCTTCCAGGACAGAGTCTGCAAGATCGCCATCTTTCTGGGATCCACAGATGCTGCCCTCTTTAAACTGTTTTTATTTGAAAAGGGATCCCAGGTTTTCACATGGAAAATCTCCCACATGGAAGATCTGGTTTGTGATGGTGTCTTATGTAAACATTTTAATATCAGATCCCTAAAATCCAGAGGCTCCCCCAAAAGGGATTAAAACATAATCCCCTCTCTCTATTGCTGTAGTGGATTAACTGTGTATTCTCTCTGCGGCTGGTTTGCTCCCTGAAGGCTGCAACAAAAAGACTCGGTGCTCCTTAAACATGCTATGGAATTGGAAGTTGTAATTGGAGATTTCCAAAGGACAGGGGTAAAAATGACACACTATTAAGGCTGAATGTTTCATGACGCCTCTTTCTGAAAGAAGAACCAGTTCGAAGTCCTTTTATAAGCCCCCAGAAAATCTCAGTTCAATAGAATCAGATTGGAGTAAAAGCAGAGGCAAGCGCAGTGTCCTTTCGGAAATGCAGAGAATCCAGTAGAGAGAATGTGTTCCCTGTGAAAAGTTCACGGAGACGTGTATTTAGAATCCGTAATATATTTCAGTAAATCACTGTATATGGTTTTGATAATGTGTTTCGTGATTTTTTTTCAATTTCTCCCAATTTAATTGCTTGAATATGTTAAATTACTCTTTAAGAAAAAGGAATAGTTCGCCATTTTAAATGTTTTTGACCATTCTTCGTCTCCAAATGCCAGAAACCTCTATTAAACCAGAAGTCACTAGCCTTCGCTGTATATATAGCATGACGACTTTTGTAAGGTTTTAGCAAGGCCCAACGATGTATAAGAAGGCACTGTTTTCAATGTCAGTCACATCACCTTCTTTCTCACCTCGCCCCAGTCGAGAGTAAGCCTCCAGTCAAGATCTCTCCAGAAAGGAAATAGGAAAAGTGGCATCCACTGGAGCGTCCTGGTGGCTCAAGGGTTAAGGGAGCGGTTCGAACCGGCCCGAGCGTTGGGGGATTCCGAGGAGGACGCGGGAGGCAGGAGGCGCCGCGGAGCGCGCGCACAGACCCTCCAATAAACACAAAGGAGGGCCTGGGGAATAGAAACCCAAATCCACTTGTAATCGTACAAGAGATTCGGGCATAATTACTTGAGCAACCTAGATTAAGATTGATGAGCCTTTAAAGTGGCGCTTCAGATCGACCGCCTCGCCCTTTGGAAAGAAAAACCTTGTGCAGCCGAGATGGACCCCGACTCCGCTTGGCTACGCGGCGGGAACTGGAGGCCCGGGACCCAGGCCGGGAGTGCGCGCGCCCCGGGGCCGGGCCCCCCGGTGCGGGCTCGGGGGGTACCGAGGGCAATAAACTAACCGAAAGGGCTTCGCGTTAGTGTGACCCAGGCGGTCAGCTCGGGGGTGAAGGCTGACACTGACGCAGTTGGCTTCCTGTCCACCCGGTTAGGCGCGACCGAAGCCGGCCGAGAGCCCTCTCCGTGCCTCCCGCGGCAGAAACGGCCCGGCTTTGTGCAGGACGGTAGCGGCCTCGGGGCGCACGCCTCCCTGGGAACGTGAACTTCCCCGCAGTCCCCGGGCCCCGCCGGGTCGGGCCTGCCAGCGGTGGCCTCGGCGGTGGTGGCGCGAGCGGGTCTCACCGCGAGGAGCCGCCGCCGAGGGGCCCGAGCCCGAGCGGCCGCAGGGGACCTGCCTTTTTATTGCCTTTATCCGACTGTGACTCGTTTGACTATGTGCATTTCAGGGCGTGGGGGGAGATGGAGGGGGGAAGGAATGGAGGGGAATTTAAGGCGCCCTTGCTACAAAAAAAAAAAAAAAAAAGAGAGAGAGAAGAACAATTAAAAAAAGAAGAATTTCTGTGTTCCATGTCTGTGTTTTCAGTACAGGATAGCAAAGAGTGCCTCCCCTTTCGGGGAATCGTAAAGGGGCAGTTAAGTGATCCCCTTTGAATTAATATTCTAAAACGTAATTTTCAACATTAACTCAGATTGAGGGAATTCGAAGTAGGCACACTTTCTGAGACATCTTTTCCTGAATATTAGTTTCTCTAGTTTCAAAAGTTGAGAAATAGCACTTTTGGCACGCTTTTCTGAGAATCGCCTTGTTCGAGCGTCTTACAATTTCATCACTTTTGACTGATTCTCTGTGAAAATCACAGCTACGATTTTCTTTTCTACATAAGAAATGTACTTAATATCCTTGTGTGTGTGTGTGTACGTGCGTATGTGGCGCGGCTTAGGACGCCGATGTGAATCTTCATGCAAGTTGCAAACCCGTTAGTTAGTACAGTGGAATTCATACATCCAGATCCTGTACCCCTTCACACCCTCCCGCCCATCCTTGGGGAACTCCGCTGCCCAGTGGAGCGGGCTTTCCCGGATGGCTGGCCTTTGGGGGCAGTGCTGACTGCCTAGGGTCTCCCAAAGCCGGTGGTGCCCCACGGAGAATCGGGGCATTTGTGGGATTTCTAGGCGGAGGTTACCAACTCTCTTGCTAAGGGTCACTTATTCCCTCTTGGGGCTTTATAGGATTCTGTATCTCTACTCTCGTTATAAGATAATGTGCAAAAGCTAAGCAGACCTTATCTCACACGAGAGGAGCTGGCCGCATGACCACAGGCACCATTTTCTTAGTACATCTTTAAAAATAAAGACCTGCGGCACCCTTCGGGAGGGAGCGGGAGAGGGCCACAGGGATTCAGCCTGACTCCGGTGCCCTTGTCTTTCAGGCCCAGTGGTTCTCAGTACCCCAGCCCAGCTCATCGCTCCTGTGGTGGTGGCCAAGGGGACTCTCTCCATCACCACGACAGAAATCTACTTCGAGGTAGATGAGGATGATCCTGCCTTCAAGAAGATCGACACGAAAGTGAGTTAGAGTGATTCTGTAAACAGTCCTGGTGGCTTTGTGGCAGGAAGTGGTTTTCAATTTTGCTTGGTTTTAAATGACAGTGGGGGAGGGGAGCATGTTTCCATCTTTGTCATAGGAAATAAAATGAATGAAATAACACATGCTCTATTTTATGGGACTGAAGAATATATTAATGATTTTAAATCCCGTGTTACCAGAGCATGCTCATTTTAATACTTTCTACATGAGAGCCTTTGTCTGCACTTGGGTAGATTTCATAGTTAAGCCAATTGTTCAAAGTCTCTGGGGTACAGCATCCCAAGCTCTTTGGGAAGACTGGGAAGGTTTTTCTGAAATACCTTAAGATCACTTTTAATTTCCAGACGTGTACATTGAAATGTGAATTATTATTCATTAAAAGGTTATAAGGAAACTGGGGGGGGGGGCGAGGTGGCATTTAAATATAAATTCATCTCCATTATTACATCCATTTTTCATCTCCTGAAATAAGAATGCACTTTACATGTGAATTTAAGAGCAGGAGAAACTAATTCTCTAAGAAGCATCGATTTCAAGTGTATAGGTCATATATACTAGCAATCAGATGTTTAAAGTTTGTGTTCTTCTGTGGGTGTAATGCCAGAAGATACATATTTGGACAATTTGATATGCATAAATATTTATTTAGTATATCTTATTGTGCAGATTTTAAAACCTGATGTTGGGACAGCTCTACACCTCTGCACTTTCTTTTCAAATCAATGTGATTGTTGTTTTAACTTTTATGTTACCCTGCAGTTTGTAAACTTTTCTGAGGTTAAGAATTCAAGTGTCCTGCTAGATATCCAAGCATCAGTATACAAAAGATCTTCCTTTGCAAGCTTTATCAGAAGCAATTATTCTAAAATAGTCAAAGACAAATGCTCCCACAGATTCAGAACTTTATTATTTGTATTTAATTTTTGTATAGAAATAAAGTATTATAAAACACGATTTGTAGAAGAGGAACTGAAACTCCAAAATCTACCCTCACCTGAATTAACTGCCTACCTTAGGGCCTGTAGGTGGTTAGCTCTCAGCACTTGTTGACTATTAAAATACTTGGAAGGACAGTCAAAGGACTTCTTACACTTCTGGCTCCCAAAGGATGGAATGTTTAAAATGAGCTGAAATGTAGTGTATTTGATTTTTAAATAATTTAAAGTTTGTCTTTATGCTTTTATCATTAGCTTGCCCTACAAAGGAAAAATAAATTTTGGGTTTCTGATTAACTTGTTCAGCTAATGGAACACTAACTGCATAAAATAAGATTTGACATAAAGTGGTCAGAAATAATCTTTATTTTATTAGCATAGTTAGTTTTCATATACAAATTTTGAAACTTTCATTGTGACTTTGAGTTCACTTTCTCTGAGTCAGATTTTTAACTCCACAGTCTTTGCTGTCATGACATATTTTTTTCCTTATATTATCAGAAATGCTACAGAACCTAGTCCAGAAGAGCAGACTTTCAAGGGTAGATTTAAATCTGTCTGTCATAGAAAGAAATAGTCTTATAAGTAGATCATTAGCTTCTGTAGCCGTACAAAGAGTTTTCTCCGGTATTTTAAGGTTTTATTTTTAATAATTCCATTAGCACACTCCTCAAAATGTTTAAGATACTCAGGTGGGTTCAGTTTCCAAAATGAAGCGTTACATCTTTTGATAGAAAAACAATTTAAAGTGAGACACAACAACTTTTATTTACTTCATTTATTAGCTTCTAATTAAATAAAAACCAGCAACAGAAATTAAAATCTAAGTCACAAAAGTAGTTATCCAGTGTATTTCAAGTGCATTTTCAAATATATAATTCAGATATTCAAGCGTTATTATATAAGCTGAATTCAAATTTCTTTGAATATATTTAAATAACATTTCAAGTATATTTATGGAATGTTAGAAATAGAACAAGCATTATATTTGAAACAAAATGTAAACTTTTTTAAAGTTCAGACACTTTCAAAGACAGATAAAAGTACCGGGAGGAAATCTACCTTTAAATGGTATCTTTGTTAGCGGAAAATGTCTGGAAGTATCCAAAACAGCAATTTAACTTCTGTTCACCAAATCACAAGACACCAACATCCACACGTTCAAAGACAATGTGAGATCACAATATTTGTTACAAACCAAAATATACATTACACTTTCCTTCAGATGGCATATCCAAATGGTGTTTACTCACAGACAGATGCACCTAAATCACCAGGATTGCTATAATCCTTTGATAGCTGGGCAGAGTGTTCTCTGTGGTCTTGCATTACAGCCGGGTTGCTTTCCGGGTGTTACTGTGTACTTTTCGAGGACGATAAGAAATCCTTTGTAAAAGAAGTCTTCTAATACTTGTGGGTTTGCGTTTTTCTCTATCCGCTTTCCCTACTTCTTCTTCTCCCCTTGGAGGGGTGGGTGAGATGATGCCTAAACATTGTACTGTTATTCCTTTTTAAGGAAGAGATTGTTTGCACTGACAAGTGGAATATTAGATAGGAATCGACCAGGAAGTTTACACCGAAGTAGGTCTTTGAGAAGAGCAATCACATTTCGGCTCTTGACAAAACGGTCCTCTAAAGTTTCTCCAAACTTTTCGGGTTGGTCAGGATCTCTCTCGCCAGTCGCCACGTTTGTTTGGCAGCGTTCTCCAGAGCCGAATGAGGTTTGCCTTGGAACAGATCTAAGTTCGGGAGGAAGTAGTGAGGACACCGCCGGCACTGCAGGCAGGAGATAAGTTGCAGCAAAATCCCGTTAAGCCGATCACCCAGGCAGGACTCGTCCCAGTCCGACTCCCGGGGATGCTTTTCACACTCGTAGGAAACCAGAGTCTTCATGTGGTAATTGTTGAGGGGCTGGCCGGGCAGTTCGAGGTGCCGATCCCGCAAGGTTTTGAGGATGGAGAGGCATTTCTTCCTGCAGCCCCCCATCTGCAGTCTGTTCTCCGCTTCCGCGAACTGCAGCACCCAGGCGTCGCTCTCGGCCGAGCTCTGTTTGCCGGCCAGGGAGTGGCACTCCTTGGACAGGAGATTGAACCCTTCCGCTTTGACCTCCGCCACCCGGTTGGGTCCCGGCCAGGGGATGTGGGGAAGCGGCCAGTGGGCAGCACTCCTGGGCCAGATGCCGGTGCACTTAAAGGCCGGGGTGATCTGCACCACGTACCTATCTCGGATTCGCAGTTTCACTTCGCTGGTGTCTGCCACCATTTTCACCACGTCCCTGTAGCTGCATTTGTCCACCGCCTGGGCCACCAGCGTCTGGAACCTGGACCGGATCTTGCGCGCCGAGAGGTAGCCGGAGGCGGTGATGAATTCCACCCAGAGGGACATGCTCCTCTTGCGCCCGTCGCTCAGCTTCAGCACCGCGCAGCCGGGCAGCGAGCCGTCGTCCACAAAGTTGAACACCCCCATCTGGTTCAGGTAAAGCACCACCTCAAACTCGGTGGGGGAGATGACCTCGAGGCCCTCGTAGCGATTGTCCATCTCGTTGAGAGAGCTGATGAAGCGGGGCTCCTGGACCTCCACTTCTTTCAGGACGTCGGAAACGACTTTGCAGACTTCGCGGATCGTCTTGGCGATGGCAGCCTTCCTGGCCTGGCACTTCTCGTTGTAGTATTTATTCAGATGGTACACCAGCTTGGCCTGGGCCGCGATCATGTTGGGGCAGAGATCCGGATTGTACACCGGAGTCTCGCAGTAAGCTGTGGGATCCAATGCGGCTGCTAGAGCTGGAGCCAACTTCGGTGGAGAAACGGGCCGCCGCGCTCAGAAACGCACCCAAACGCTCTCCGACGTGCTGCCGCGCTGGACTCCCAGCCCGCTGCTCTCCCCCCTTCCTTTTATCTTTGAGCCCGGACGGCCTGAAAGTGAAAGCCTGCTCTCCCCCCACCCCCCTCTCTCGGTCTTTCTTCCTCCTTTAAAGGATCCTTGTGCGAGAGAAACGCAAGGAGAGATCACCTTCTCAGTAGTGAAAACAAAAGTTGCGCCGAGACCCAGCAAAGCTCCTCCCGTAGCCAAAATAACCGGCCCTCTCCGTATTTATTGACGCCTTCCCGCAATCATCGTGTCTGCCGGACTGTTAATCAGACGGAGGAAAAGTGTGCGGAGTGTGTGTCGGGGGTGAGTGTGCGTGTGTCTGTGTCAGAAGAAGCTGCTGTTGGTTTGTCTAAGAGCCCAGATGCACTCGTGTGGAAATTATAAAGGCAGGGCCAGGCAGGCTGGCGGCCAATCGCCACTGGGCTCGTCACGACAGCCTCCTTCAGCTCCAACCCGGCTAATTAATCCCCCCTCGTGGATATAGGCACACAAACTAAAGGTAGGAGGCTGCTGCCGGCAGAAAACCACCCAGGCCACCTAGACAGTTTTGGAAATCAAGAGGAATCTCTCGGCTTTGGTATTAATGGAAGCATATTGACGTTTTGAAAAGACTTGGCAAAGTGCTTCTCTTCTGTGTTGGAAAAAAAAAAAAAAAAGCCCTGCTTGTCTTTTTACCGCGGAAATGCAAATACAGGTGTATTAATGGTCATCCATCAATTAGTGAACTAGATGGGGTCTTCTAAAACCAAAGTCACTAACTTGCATTTAGAATAAGATAATTAACGTCTCTTAATCCTGGAGGTCTTTTAAAATGCAGGTTGAGAGCTCACTGTTGCACGTCTGTGCGAGTTGGCTTTAGATGGACTGATGCCTGTGTAATTTTTTGGATGTTCCTATAATGTCAGAATGTTGCTGTTGTTGTTGTTGTTGTTGTTGTTGTTGTTGTTTTAATGTTATGCAGCGTTTTAACTCTGGTTTTTCCTCATTTGCAGTGGTTGAAAGGAGTCTGAAAATTACTGTTTTGTTAGACGTTGTCTACTGCTCTTTTAAGTTAGGATGTTTAAAAAAATGTTTAGGATCACTCCCCCTCTGTCCCCAACTGCAGCCCTCTTTGTACTTCGGTTGACTTGCCAACATAATCAGGACACTGAGTTTTGTACGCACTGGTAGAAAGCTTTAAAAAATGACTTCTCTGTGTGATCGAGAGACTGTTGTAACGTGAGTTCCTAGTGGGCTGGGTTTTAATACGTGAAATGAAGGCGAGATCATAGAGATGAGACCTAGTGGCAGATAACTGTTCCAAAAATTCTCAGGCTCGGGGTTTCTGGCTTGCCTATTGATGTGTAATTCAGGATATACCTCCTCTCCTAAGTGTCCGTAGTGGTGACCTGACAGACTTCTAATTTTATACGATTTCATGTGATTTGATTGAGGGAAAAATCAGTTACGATTGTAAAAGAAAACTAATCTGCAGTCATCCAGGGTGTTAAAATTTAAATGCCGTTTCGGAAAACTTTGAAAGAAAAATCGACATGTCCAAATTTTGGAACCTTGATACAGGAGGGGGGAATGGATTTATGTAGAACATGTTTTTGGTTTTGTTTTCTGGTGATACCAATTGTGTCCTTCATGTACAGGAAAGGAGATAAATACTACTTAGGGACTATGTAGTGGTTTTAAAACCCAGGCAGATTTTTAATGCCTACCTTTAATTTAGATGTCGTGTCTTTAAGATTAACAATATTTCCAGCCTAATCTTGTAACTCCTGGTAACAGGTTTGTAGGCACTTTCTTTCAGAGCCACTTTCAACAAGATCTTGTTCAGGGCTCCCACTTTTTACCTGAGCTTTTGATTTTTTTTTTTTTTTTTTTTTTTTTTTTTTTTTTTTTTTGCACAGGTACAAGCATCACAAAGGCACCTATTATTTCCTTTCTCCTTATCCAAGAGTGATAGGTTCCAGATTTAGCTTAAAACAATACATTAGATTTGGGGCTCATGGCATCCATCTACTCTATTCCCCAGGAACCTTCCATTCCCTGGGGAGCAGGGACTGGGAACACGCGAACAGCTCCTCCCCACTTTGCAGGCTCTGCGGGTGAACGCACTGCTACCTTTTGGCAGTTGGAAGAGGAAGAAGAGGAGGCAAATCCGAACCTCAGAACCCGAGGCCAAGAAGGCGAAGATGCGCCTTGGTCTCAGGGGAAAAGCCGCCTCTGGCCCTCACCCAGCGTCTGTCCCCTCTCTCCCGCTGCTCCGCACTTCCAAGCCAGCCTCCTTTCCTCTCTCTGTTCCGTGGGGTTTTTTTTTTTTTTTACCTGAGTGCGCGTTATTCTAAGCCTTACTCGGTGTCCTCGGCTTCTCCGCGTCCGCTCCAGGCCACGGCCTCTGCCCGCGCATCCCTCAGCCCCGCCGTCGCCCGGGCCCACGTGCGCCCGCAGCCTAGCCCCGCGCTTTCTCGTCGGCGGCCGCGGGCCCCTGCGCCCAGCGCTCTGTCCCTTGGGTGCGGACCAGAGTTGCTCGGCCAGGACCTCGTCCCTCGATTTGCTGGGCCACCTGCAAGTACCCCGGCCGCCGAGGACGTGCGGCCTGGGACGCGGAGGCCCCGGGGTCGTGTGGGGGGACCGTGGCGCGGCGGTCCGGGTGGGTCTAACGCGAGGGACGCGAGGGGCGCCCGGCCGGCCTCGCTGGAGCCAAGCGCGCAGGTGGCGCATCTTCGGGGCTCGCTGTGCGGCTTAATTGGGTTAAAGCGAAGCTAAACACCGAAGCACTTTGTGCAAACTAATTGGTGTAACCGGGGCCTTTTCACTAACGATTTGCACTTTGAAGAAGAAAAATGGATGGTGAGAAAAGGACTAAGAAAGTCGTTAGTCCTAGAATGTTCCAGGCAAGTGAAGTCATTCAGTTCCAAGGACGCCGGGACTGTGTTTTCCGAGCTGCTTCCCCCAGCACCCTTGACGCTGGGAGCTGACAGTGATTTACATAACACAGGATTCACCCACCCGCTGTTATCACTGTAGGTGAACTGGGCACCCTAGAATAATACTCGAGCGCAAGTACTGCTTGTTGCTGCAACACAGTGATTTTCTATCACACTGAACACGCGAAATGAATTGCCTTCTGTAGCTGAATCCTTTCAGTGATCTCAGACACCTCTCATTGTTGAAGGGAAAATTAAACTATCCGAGGAGTGTGTTTTCTATCCCTTAATTTTTTTTTTTTTTTTGTTTTAAGGAAATGACCTATGGAGAAGAATTTACAATATATAGTATACATTTATGTAATTCAGCCGCGTTTTTGGAGGTAGTTTTGTGGGAGCAACTTAGTTATTTTATAAGATTTTTTTGTGAAATATCACTTGACCTATTGAACTAGTTATTTCAAATGATTATTTACTACCTGGGGATGGCTTGAAATCAATTTATTTACTTATGTGAGAAGTTATAAAAACAACTCTAATGATTTCAGTCTTGTATTATTATTTTTTTTTACTATAAATATAATCTTAGTAGTTAGTACTAGAGTAAAAGCTTGTGCGTGTCCAATGCTTTAGGATATAAATGCTGAATTGTTTTCAGTGCTTTGCTATGCAGTCATCTTTGACGTGAGCTAATAATAGAATGATAATTGAAGAAAACTGACCTAATTGAAGGAAAAAGGAAAAAAAAGCCAAGAATCTCATGATTTAATGATAGTTTGAGATGCTTACATTTGAATGATATTTGGGATTTTAAGGTCTAACTGGCTTGACTTTTTCATTTCATTTACTTAGGTTACTAGGCAGCCTTGACTTAAAGTGTATCATTTAGGAAAAGAATCCAAAAAAGTCACCAACACACCATTATCATAAATTTTAGTGGTATTAATGAATACAAAACAATTAAATATTATGGTCCTTAACGTTTCAAAACATTCAAAATAACGATGGCAAAATAATTTTTCCTGAGGTCCTGTTTCCTAAGTAACTTATTCCCCCTTCTGTAATCCTACTTAATTTGTATGGGATACACAATGTAATGTGTAAATAGTCACCTTATTAGGTTTAAAGAAAAACTATTACCTTGAGAAATGCAGAAATGCAGGAATGCAAGGCTTCTGTGTTTAAAAAAACTAATTTAAATTTGAATTACATGTTCATGAATTTAAGCAATTGTGGCCTTTCATCTGGAAAAATGTGTCTGTTAGAGAATATACATATACATGTTAAATGCTCACATAGATATTGTTTTGTGTTTTTTATATCTGCTGGCTGCTATTCTATTCGCAAGTATTCATGAACTTAAAGTTTTATTTTTTTAATATGTGCTTATTACACTGGGGAGATAAAAAGAATATGAAGTTGAGTTTATTAAATTATTTATCCCTACTGCTGGAGTGGCTTTGAAGGCTCATTGTACGCATCTGATTTCTACCTCCCCCCACTTCGTTTTTTAAATGCACCCAGGCTATTTCATCTGTTTCATTCTGCCAGACACAATATATTTCTTTTTTTACACTAGAGAAATTAAAGACAGATATTTGTGCAGGGTTTTCTCTATGTGTCACATTAAATAAAGTAAAATAGAGGCAGTTTTTCTGGTAATCTAATTTGATGGCATCTATACCTTTCTTCTTGTTGTGACTCCTCGTATAAGAACACTTGAAACAAAATAGCTTGAGAGCTTCAAAAGTTTCCATGATTTCTTAAAACAATTATTTCATATTTTAATATCAGGTTTGTGAAACGGTGAAGCCGAGAATTGAGGTCACTGTTGGCACAATCTAGACCCTATTTTATTTCTTCAACCAGAGAGCATCCTGATAATTGAAGCTTTTTTAAAAAAAATTATTTCCTTAATTCTTCACTTGAATGATCAAGGCTATGGCCTCACTTTTCCTCATCCCTCTAGTACACATCAGATAGTCAACATTGGTTGTGGGGTGTACTTTTCTTCCGTACAGTGTTGCTTAGTAAACTTGTTATTGGTGCTAATAAATGTTGAAAAGAAAGTAACTTTGAGATTCAAGATGGAAGTTAGAAGTGTACCTACTAGATTTGCGGATTTGCAGTCATTCTGGGTAATTCCAACCAAAGCCTTTCTCTGGGCAGAAAAAAGAAAATGGAAGGACTGGGTTATTCAGACAGTTGTCCATTTCCTCACTTCATTTGAATGTGTACATATTGGTGTAGGATGTTTTAAGTTGCATCTATGAACTGAAAAATTGGGGGGGTGGAGGGTTATCAACCAGAAGATATTCTTATTGCTCAAAATAGAATGTGATCTCTTTACTCTTTCCAGAAATTTAAGGATATTGGGATCAATCATTTATTTATTGAGTGTTATGTAGGAAGTGTTGATTACAATGTTCCAGTTCCTCATAGACCCTTCAGAAAGTCACTGTTAATCTTTATAATCTAGAAAATTCGAATTCATGTTGTTAGATTTCAGCCTCTATTTTTCCTTTGGATATTATAGGAATATTCTGGCAAGATAAATGGGCTCACATGGTTCTTTTCTTTACGAATATATGAAAACTAGGTATTCCTTAACCCATAATTCACATGGATTTACTGACATTTGTGTATATATGACCACAACCTTGGTACTCTTAGCACATTTGCGTTTTATTGCACTTAGAGAAAACAATGGAATCAAATGTGATTAGTGTCTTAATCTGTACATCTGTAGTGGGTCATCCAGGACTGCATAGCTCTCATTACTGTCCCATACTGTATGT